TAAAAGAAACAAGTTCAAAAAGCTTTAGAATCTTAGGAAACTTTTATTACGTTAAGTTAATTTTATATTAATAAGAAACTGATCTTATTAAGAGTTTAAGGAATATTTCCTAACTATTCATCTACATATCGTATCAACAATACATACAAGAACTCCTCTATTCTTGAAAAATAATGAAAAAAATGGTTACAATTAGGTATAGCAGCTGCGCAAGAAGGTAAAAAACATAAAGTAGATTGAAATTCGACTCGTACCGACCGGAAGATTAAACAAAACTTTCATACCTGCCTGGATCCAGAGGTTACAGGAAAAGACATCAGCCCAAGGACTGTCACAAAAAAAAAAATCACAAGAAGATTCCAGCTTTAGGGTATATATGTAATGCTATGATAGGTGGAGTCGATAAAAGAAGATCAAGATAAAAGATTTATAGAGATCATTTTATGGTTAGAACCACCTAAAAGAGAGCTAGTGTTAAAGACAAAAACACAAATCAATCAGTGAAGGTGAATGATTAGGGTTGTTTATCAAATGATTCACAAAGTTAACTGCCTGAGTAAGAAATTGAAAAGTAAAGAAGTTATGAGCTTTTGTTCCAGCAAAAACATCCGATTTAAATTAGTCTTGCAAAGAGCAAGCAACTCGATAATTCACATCAAAAGGAAAACCTTACCATCAGCCGGTCTCAGAACCGTTTAACTGAGTTTTAGAGCTGTACCCTCATTAGGAGATAACAGGAAGAGTTGAATTGCTGTTATTAAGGTGGCACAATAAAAAATTTATGAGTAGGTTTAAGAAGATCCAGCATTTGTTATCTTAAGCAATAAACAATGCAACACAGGTTTACATTTAAGTTAGCATAATAAATAAAAGAAAGGGTGCGATGCTGGTCAACAGAATTACTAATAACTAATTGGTTAACAGATATACTAAAGTTTTTTCCTAAGAGGTCTTCCACAGCACAGTAGCTTAATAATATCTGCCCAGAGATAAAAAAATTTTCGATACACAATTTCTACTCAAACAAGCGCTAGAGAAGTGAATCCTACAAAGCAGGACATTGAGCAGGTAGCAGTTGATTACCACCCTGTGGTAGTGTCTTTATATATTTTCATATTGATTGCAAATCAGTATTTTTTGTTTCTTTTTTTATTTGTCTCTTGTCTAGTTTTAAATAAAAAAATGTGCAAATATTTTCATCTCCATTTGTTGATGTTTTTACAAATCTATCCATTACTTATATACTCTTAATAAATAATGTTTGTATTTTTTTCATGTATCTATTTTTTCTGCTGATATAATTGGAAAAGCTATTGTTTTTTCTGGCAATTTAATAGTTATAATGGTTGTCATCAGTGTTCTTCTCAAGGGAAAAGAGTTCAAAAAGGCAGTCTTGTATGACTTCGTCCATTTTCCAATGTTAGTGTGAATTGTAGAAACCATTTAGATTTTATTGGGTTTTATTGTAGTTGAAGGATTTTTAAATAAAATACTTTTGAGAAGAGTACCTAATTTTAATTGTGTAAATGTAACAGCTGTTGCTAATACGTTGATTAAACAATGATTTAATAGGAATATATATATATATATATATATATATATATATATATATATATATATATATATATATATATATATATATATATATATATATATATATATTCCTGTTAAATCACGTTTTTTTTGTTCTATTAAATTCCCTATATGGACTATCTTTTTCTTTTTTTAATTTTAGCTTTGAAGACTCATGCGGACAAGTATGTGTCGAATGCTTTTTAAACAAAGGATCGGCGATAATTTTAATTATTTTTGTTTTGTTTTGAAATTCGTTGGTAGTTAACCGATGACCTCAACATTTAGAAAGTTTCAGTTATTAATCTAAAAATATACTAAAATATCCTGAAAAATTAAAGTTTAAAAATATGACATACATTAAAATAGCAAAACTACGTAATAAAGCTATATATTTTTCCTTGGAAAAGTACCGTAAACCGGGGTTTTGAATAGCGGGGTAACTTTGAATACAAATCTATTTTTTTTCAAGTTATAATTATGGCAAGAATTTATATGAAATTGTTTAAATCTCAAACATTAAAGTTTTAAAAATAACTTATATTTTGATTATTTAAAGTTTCATTTTCAAGTTTGTTGTTATTGTTCCCCAAAAAATAAGTTAAATAACTTTGATATTTTTTCTCAAAAAAATTAGTCAGAATACTTCGTACACTGCCTCAGCTATTGTAGCAGCTTGTTGTCTAAGTTGCATAATTTTTGTTTATAAACTTATTAAGCATGTAAAATCTTATTTATTAAGAAGTTTGTTTGCCTACTATAATTATGTTACATTGCTGTAGCATAACATACTTTGTTGTATACATCCGTAGAAAAACGGATCACCTTAAAGGTGAGTTTCCACTCATCCGTTTTTCTACGGGAAAGGGAAAGGGAACGGAAAAATAATCACGTGAGCATGCGCAGTTTTCTTTCGGACAAATAAAAACTCTTATTACGCATGCTCACGTGATTATTTTTCCCGTTCCCGTTGAAAAACGGATGAGTGGAAACTCGCCTTTATATATTAAGTATTGTACATAATATTATTTGTGATTAAAAGTTAAAATATCATGTGTATAAACAGTAAGTCACACATAGTTTGTGTGTGTGTTTATGTGTGTGTGTCTTTGTTTGTATGCGTGTATATGTGTGTGTGTCTTTGTGTGTATACGTGTGTGTGTCTTTGTGTGTATGTGTGTATATGTGTGTATGTGTATATATGTGTGTGTATACATTGTTTATTTATATACATATATGTGTGTGTGAGTGTTTGTATATGTATGTATGTATATATATATATATATGCATATATATATACATATATATATATATATATATATATATATATATATATATATATATATATATATATATATATATATATATATATATATATATATATATATATATATCTTGTATAAAAAATATTTGTGTGTACATTCAATACTGTGTTGAATTATATTTGTTGAAAATACTGTTTTATCTTTAAATTTGTTTTTGTTTAGCATTTCATAGAAGTACTATCCCACTTTTATATGAAAAAAAATTAATACAAGGCAGTATATAAATTATACTGAATGATAATTTTGTGGTAACAATAAACAATATTAGATAAAAAAATTATTAAATGTTCATTGGGTGCAAGTTGTCACTTTGTATAATAAAGTTAAAAAACTTAATCCGAAAACACATGGAAAGTCCAAAGTTTTTACAAATATGCAACATGTTATGTTACGTCAATTGTGTTTAGTGTTTCTGGTCAAGTTGCCTGTGGTTATGTTTATAAAGCTGACCATTTATGCACAACAAGAATCGAAGTCGACCACCTAACGTATATTCAATCAAAAATAAAATCAAAGCCAGGAAGGTTTGATTCTATTCACTTTTTTGACTGGTTTGTTATTGTTTTTTGTCAAATTGTACGGAACATTCCTATTAGTTAAATCAAAGTAATTTTTACAGTGAAAAAGTTGAATGTACTAAAGAAAGTACTAAAGAAAATATCTTGTTGAGAAAAAAACAGTATCTTGTTCTATAACTGGTAACTCTACCCATTTATTGCAATCTCTTAATGATGCATTTTATTGATATCTTAAAAAATGTTGTAAGAAAATACTTGATCAATTGGAAACCTTTTGTTTAAAAAATGCACAGACTATTACAAAAAATACATCTTCTGTTAAATCAAAAGGTAATCAACAACTTAGTTGCGTGGTGGTTTTGAAAAAAATATGGAAGTTACTCATTAGATATAAGTATCATCTTCAATCGTTGGCCTGATGGTTACAACTTTAGTTTGCCGAGCAGTAATTAATGTACTTTTTTGTATGTAATGTACAATTTTTTCATGTTGATGTAAAGGAAAAAGCAGACTCAAAGGGGAAAAAAAAATTACTTTTTATCTTGTTAAAAATATTTCTTTTAAGGATTTTTGGCAAAATGTAAAGATATTCCACTTGCAAAGTCTAGAAGTGAAACTGATGTAAATGAGACTTTTTTTATGCTAGTCCATTTAAAAAATATCCATTTAAACAAAATAAAATACTAAATGGATGTTTGTTATGAAAAAATGTTATATTATTTTAGCAATAATAAATTACTGTGAAATTAGACTGTTGTTTTTATTAAATTTTAAAACAAAACAAAGCTTTTTTGAATAAGTTTTGCTTTTACAAAAAACACATTCAAAGTTACCCCATTTGCGGGGTAACTTTGAACGACTATTTAAATTAATATTATTCAAAATACTTTTATTTAAATATTATTTTGGATTTGAATTATGTAAGAGTCAATCTTAGCCCCTATATTCACTTTTTTAAATTTCAAATATTGTCAATAGCGAAGGAAGAGCAAGTAAAAATATCTCTAAAACGTTCAAAGTAACTACGTTTTACGGTACTTATCTGTGAATATATCTCTTAGTTTTTTTCTTGAGATTATTTTATTGTAATTAAAATTTTGTAGTTAATATTGTAAGTAAAATTTAGTAAAAAAGTGTTTTTGAGCTTACCTTGACTTGGTACTCATAAAACGAGATATTTAAAACAAATGTTATATTACAAATTTTTATCTTTCTCCGCTTAGTTTGTATTTATCGCATTCATTGTTTATAATTGTTTTAATCGAATTATTTAAAATATTTATAAAAGTTTTGTAAAAAAAACAACTTTCGAAAAAAATACGCTGAAGCGAATTTACTAAACTTCTATTTTTATATGTAAACATGAAAGTTCACTGGAAAAGATCACTAGAAGTTCACTGGAAAAGTTTACTGGGTTTTAGAAAATTTTTTTACTGGAAGTTCACTGAGTTTTTTTGTAAAGGTTTAGAGATATTAAGTTAAGGG